CTCCTTTTATTGCTGACATACCTATAGAAGCTCTTCCTGTTACCCTTAATGTCCTTGGCCATATTTAATTCTATCAGGGCTTTAGCTTTCCTCACCTGATCTCTGGCTTCACTGACAGTGTCTCTGTATTGTCCCCAGGCTACCTGTCCTTTCTTCCACCCTCTGTAGGGTTCCTTTTTTTGTTTGCATTTGCTCAGGAGTTCCTTGTTCATCCACGCAGGCCTCCTGGCATTTTTGGCTGCCTTCCTCTTTGTTGGGATGCATGGCTCCTGAGCTTGGAGGAAGTGATCCTTGAATATTAGCCAGCTTTCTTGGGCCCCTCTTCCCTCCAGGGCTTTATCCCACGGGACTCTTCCAAGGAGGTCCCTGAAGAGGCCAAAGCCCGCTCTCGTAAAGTCCAGGGTAGTGAGTTTGCTGTGCACTATGCTTCCTCCACATCATTTATGTCTAATGCCTTTCACACTGCCTCCTGCCATTTCTCTGAACAGTTTCACAAGAGATACATGTCTGGCATCCATAGTTATACTGATAAAAAACACACAAATTGAGGAATGGGTTGTGCTGATAAAGACTCATGTAATTGTGAGCTAAAATAACTTCTGCTGTTGGGATCATTAAAGGAAGAAAAGTTGAGCTACAAAACACCACTGTCCAATTCTTAGGAAGTACCCTGCATATTTACAAGGGGTCTTTCTTACATGCTCAAGAACCACAGTGTGGACCCCAGCAAGCAAAGCTTGGTACATGTGAAAACAACACAGAGACTGTGGGTTAAGTCTATGGTTTGAGTCTTAGACCATGAAGGTACCTAACAACATAGATTCTCCCTGAACTATTTGCAATATGACCTTAAAAAGAGAACTTAAATTCTTCCAGTGCATCTCTGTGGAAAATTTGGGATATTCCTTATATTCAGGCCATATATAGGTTATGAATAATAGATATGCTGAGCACATCAAACAGGTGCGGTTCGCAGTGCTTAAGAACGCTAGAAATACACTGCTAATAGGTTAGAGAACCCGTGTATCTACTGAAAAAATTGTAAATCTATGAAAATCCATAAATCATATAGATTCAAAACCTAAACAATATTTCCTCTTAGTGCATTTTATCTTTAAAAATCCTCCAGCTTATATGAGATTTTATTTGAAAGCACCACTTCCATGTTCTGCTTATCATGAATCAAGTTTTAAAACACTCAGCTATGATTCAGAGTTTCAGTTTTTTGTCAACAGAAAAAAAAAATCACGATTTGAGATTAGTATTAATATTAATGTCAGCAACTCCAGAATAAGCTATTCTTTCTTTTTTCACTCCACTGCTACTAATTTGTAATTTACTTTACAGCCACAGGATCTATTGCTATAAAATAATTTCAGGTAAAGGGTTAAATTATACCATTAATTTATAAGGGCAATTCAACTAAAATCAACAGGGAGTTCTGCATACTAATGGTACAGTATAAGCCAAAATTTAGACACTAAAAAGTGACAGCATGTGGTATATCTCCGCTCTGTATGACAAAGTAGAAAATAGACTTATATAATAACCATGTCCTTAATTATATCTTGCAAATGCAAATGATCTTGAATATGCAAAACATGTAAGTACTGTTCAGTTATTAGATCAGGCTCTCCCACCCCTAAATCATATAGATCATCCATAGTCTTTTGCCTATGCAGTTCCTGTAGCAGGAAGTTCCTGGAACATCCCCTCCACTAAAATCACTACCTGCTCCTCTGTCTTTCCCCCTTTTCATTATGTCAATTCCTGACCCCAGAGGAGGCAACCAATGTCCATCTCATGATATGGTTTGTGCATAGAGCTCTTCAGAGCTCTGATAAGGTTTGCATAACTTCCTGCCATGAAACAGTTACTATATTGTAAGTTGAATTCAATGCTAGTATCTTTTTTTTTCCTGTGTTTGTGTTCTGAACAGAGTTTCACACGTACATGTTCATATTTTAATCATATGATACCAAACTGGTTTTACCAAATTTGGGGATGACACCTCAGAGTCTTTGCTGAGGCAAAGGTACTGGTGACCTCACAGTACAAAGTTGTCATTGTGTCTAAGTTGTCATTGTAACCTAACTACAGGTAACAAAACACCAAGATACTTCAACAATGTGTGGTCAGGTAACCTTGTAACTAATTTCTTACTCTGTCAGAAGCAGCCTACTGTTTGCACTTCCTATCATTTGAGTATTTACTTTCCATACAGTATTAGAGCCCGATCCCACAGTTCTTTTACAGACAGACCAGCTATGCATATCAAAGTATATTTGGTCTCAGTAAGGACTATATGATTGATCTGACTGTGTATCTATCTAAAATGCCATAATGGGGAAACAGTTTCTTTTTCTTTTCCTCCAATTCACAGATCAAACTCTGAGTTATTTTAAGAACAGGTAGAAGTTTTGGGCTTTAATGAAACAGACTCCTAATTAAAAATAAAAATCATTTCTAACTTCCAGTGCCAAGCAATCATTCCCAACAGTGGTGCAGACTTGGCTTATTCTTAGCATTTCTGCATTTGCTAATATTGTAGAGTCCACGGCCTACATTAACAATCATTATTTGTTTGAATTAGCTTGTTTTCTACAGATTATTCACCACTTCTATATATTTTTAAGCATCCTCAATATATTTAATTTGTTTTTCTCAGATCTGATACTAATCAAGAGATGACAGTATAGAAAGAATTATTTTAACTGCAGACTGTATGATCCTTACTACTCATCTTAGACAGAAATAATTTATTGAAAATCTCACCAAATTAATACTACTAGCAAGAATAAAATATCGTATCTGCAATAATGGTCATGCATATTTTTATAATGCATCCACTAAAAACTGAGTCTTAAGCTCAGAAAGTTCAGAAACAGAATTTTTGATGACTTACTGAAATAAATACATAAAATTAACTTTAAAAAAGAACATACATTCTAGCTTGTCTTCAGGTCTTCCTCTTTCTAGCAATGACAAGTAGCAAACAATATCCTTCAGCTGGATCATGTCTGGTAAATGTAAGTTGGCAGGAGTAGGAGGTCGGGATGTAGAGGTACCCTTATTAAGTCTCAGACCTGGAAATAACACAGCCTTTGTTACTCTAAACATATGATACAAGCACAAATGAAAACATAACTTTTCGATACATGCATCTTTGTTTTATGTGAATCTCAGATGACTTCTTAATTTATATATAAATGGGAAGTTTTAAACAATTCATATTCATAATTTATTCAGCAAAGGCAGATTAAAATTATATAGAGATTTTGAAATATTATTCAGATAAAGAAAACTACTGAAAAAATCAATTATGGGAATGGCATAACCCTTTTTTTCATTTGTGTTGATCTGACATTATTTTACTACAAAATATTAGAATTTTTGAATATTTCTATTCTACTACATTACATGTTAAATTAAGTGTTAAAACAATCCCTGCCCAATGCTGCATCCACTTCCTTGTGCTTGTAGAAGCTTCATCGAACTTAAGGATTGACACCAGCTACACTAATTGAAGATGTTTAGTTTCAGAGAAAACTCTGATAATACCCAAGTGTGCAGTCTTCCCAAAAAACACAGCCAGATGTGTGTCAGAGCAACACATACTTAAAACATGGAAGCCTTGATCACAGAGTAGTGTGAAAATAAACATAGAATTTAAATAACAGCCATAATAATTTCTCAAATATTGTGACCAAGAGCAGTTCCAGTGTACCACCTGGAATACAAATTTCATCATTGACAAACTTTTTGTTTTAAGAGAACATTAATATGACCATTCCCAATTATATTATTTGAATCTGCAGGACCAATAAATAGAGGAAAAAAAGGAGAAGGACAGGAGAACACAGAGAAAGCAATAATAAAACTTTGTTTACACGTTTGTTTCTTTTCTCACTGACTTTAGTGATATTAAAGATCCTTACAAATCCTTTACAAAATCCATTTACAAAATGTTCTTAAATATTTTCTGTAAGTAATTCAAAACAGAGTCGTCATTGCTCACATAACCTGCATACATAATTTCTTTCATCCATTTGCCTTGGACAAGCTAATTACTGTAGTAAATGGAAACAGAATTCTGGTGGGTTTTCTTCTCCCCCTATTTATATCTTGAAAAACTCCACTACAATCTGAAGACATTTTCAAAAGTCTACGGAGGTACACAGGTTAGAAAAAAATATTTCATTAAACAAAAACAAATTGGCATGCAGAAAATATATCTCTGAATCAAGTTCATGTTCATGGTTTCAGGCAGATAATAAACACTGAAAGTAAATATTTAAAATTAGTAAAAAGATTATAATAGGGCAATGTTCTACTACATGTGCTTGCATGTTGGTTAAGTGCCCTTAAAATTAAGACATTATAAAATGTTAATCAAGTACGATGCTAGCTTTAATCACACAATTTACATAAATGGTTCACATTCCAGTCTTAGATGAATTTCATGCACAGAATAAAAAGTATTCTAAAACTTTGGCTAATTAATCTCAAAAAAGTATAGTCCTGAATTCCACTGAAATCTAAATGAAAAGGCATACAAATTTTAAGGTATCTTTTAGCTTATCAGCCACAAGGTACTGGTTAAAGTATTACTTCTTAATCAGAGGTGGGAGAGGGGTGTCTGCAACGTGCTGACTTGCAGATGACTTACAGTGCTGCTGCTTACCAGGCATTTGTTTCCATCTCTCTTCAGACACCTTAACTGAAAATACAATTTATAAAGAGACATGAGTGGACCAAGAGACTAAGTAAAAAACGGGCACATACCAGAGAGATTTATGAACCCTGATACTTTCCTTGTGAACTTCTCTAGCTCTTGTGTATCTTGCCATTTTCAAGAAGAATGTCAAACGTTTCTGACTAATTTATTAACCCATATGGTCATTTTTTTCACTATTGGTAACATTGAAAAATTACTAGATATCCTAAAATTAAGGTTTCCATAATTTTAATTTGCCCATCAAAATGTACAAATACACATTTTTTCCCTTTATATGCTACAAATTATAAAGATGGAATATGTAGCTTAAATCTCATGCAATTGAATTACAATATAAACAGCATATTTTCAAGCACAAATAAATCTTGCATGAGGTGAACTAAATTGTCTCTCTGAACATGCTTTGGATATAACAATTTATCAAACAGTCCTGGTATTACACTAAATACATATGGAAGACTACTAATCTGGTCTCAAATTACATTATTTCTAAAGTCCTTACTAACAAAAAAGATGAAAATTAACTACAAACTGGGAAAAGTTAGTGAAGGAGAAAAAAAATTAGGAGGTAGCACTAGAGTAAGAAACAGCACACAGTTTAAACAATAACAGCAATAATAAAAATTATTATTAATTATTATTTTACCACGGAGAGAATTCTGGCGAAAGTGAAGAAAGCTAAGTATGGCCTATATTGAGCAGAATTTAGCTGTAAATCTGAAAATGACCTGAAAACATCTGTTATTATTTCTAAATATGAAGTGTCAAAACCATAGAAATACAACACCAGAATGATAAAAGATGATTTTTTGAAATAACAGTATTCAGACAACATATGTAAAAACACAACATAATAAATAAATCTGCACCAGTAAATGTCAGCTGCTCTTGGAGTTATCAGGCAAAAAGAGTTAAATGTAAAAGATTACAGATTTTGGTGGCTGGTACAGTGCATGTTTATTGCTGATGCTACTCATTGATGAAAACATGATGAAAAATTCAGTGAAAAACTAAGAGTAACTAAAGTGCAAGTGAAATTGTGTGGCTGGGACTTTATAGACAACAGAATCTACATTAATTGTTGAAATAAATGCAATGTTGAAAATTTATGAAATCCAAAATATACCCTGCAGCATACAATAAATAATACATCTAGACATGCCCTCAGAGATGTTGTTGCAAAGCATCTTTAAGGGCAAGTGACAGAATCACTAGTCTAAATGACTTGCCCAAACCCATAAGCCATTATCAGAGCTGTAATTAGCAACAGAAGGTTTTGAATACTTCACACATCTGATTACACTGTAATCTAACAAAGCCTACTGCTTTGCACATGGAACCAGTCTAGATAACTAACAACAAAAGCCCAAGAAGTTGGAAATGTACTGTCTACACAGCAGATATTTGTGGAACGAAATGTGTCCATGGCAGTTCTGCTTAGAAAAGATAAAAAAAGATACCCAAATAGTCCAAATCAAATGAGAAAATATTTATATTAAGAATCATATCCTTGATGTGGTAAGCAAGCTTTGCTAGTAGAAAAATGTTGGGTTTTTTTTAAGTTTAATTACAGCTAATGACCATCACATAAATATATATATATAGAGAGAGATAGAAAAATATAAATAATATAACAGAAAATGATAATGCAATATGGGGGGAGGCGTTTATTTGGTTGGTTCATTGGTGTTTTTTGCCAGGAAATATAAAACTAAGAAGTGGAAATAACAGGTACTATACACTTAAATAAAGAAAAATAACTGAAACCCATCTATTTAACACAGCTGAGAGCAACATGCGGGAAAAAGAACAGGTCAGACCCAATGGTGATATCTGAAAGCCTAAAATTAGTATTGTACACTGAGGCACCTAAGGAAATCTAGTGCTTGGTATCTGCAAAAGCTAATTTCTCCATTAGTAGCACCAGTACCAAATTCACAACTTCTGGATAAGTTGCACTTTGAAGAGATCTAATCTTCATATAAAGAATTCAAGCGATTAAGTACCCATCAAACCATTTGGTAACTTGCTCTAAGTGCTTGATTATCCGAGCTGTTCAAAACACACGTTTTATTTCATTAAATTAGTCTACCTTTTGCTTTTAGCTATTGGATTTTAATTGCTAAAGTGCTAAACCAAGTATTTCAAGTTAGGAAGATAACTTTACATTTCTTCTAGAAATTTTCTTTAAAAGTTTTATAAAATCTTGTAGGTTGACAGGTTTTAACATTATTTTCCATGGAAGTATTTTAATATTATGTCCTCTGAACACAAAATCATTTTTAATAAAAATGTTCAGCTTAGCATGAATATTTCAAACTGCATTGAAGAGGATCCTCACATTGGGAAAAAAAATACTGCTAACACTTATAGGACATTTAAAATATCAGTAGCTGATAAGTATGTAGGTTTATTAAGAGCAGTATCACACCTAAACAACTAAGAGAAGCAGCTGTAACTGGGCACAGAAACTGTAGAGCACCCGCAGGAGGCTCCTGCATGATGTTCTGAAGGTTTTTAAGTGTTTATGCAGAAGAGTAGGCAGCAAGATCATGTAACCATAGCAATCTGACTAGCATTAACGTGACAAAAACTGTCCACTTGGTGTCTCACCTGCATCATTATCATGAACTAAAAAGATCAAACCATTTAATTTCCATTTCTTTTCACAATACTTCTTGTTCATTATTGAGTTAGTTTCTTCAATGTCAAAAACATCAGAACAAAAGAGAAATACACATAGTTTAAAATTCTATACACTTATAGCTATTAGAAATACCAGGAGAAGGGAACCTTCAGCTCTCGTATTACTGTGATTGGATTACTTACCTCCAGAGAGGTGCTGGGGTTTGCCTTTTATTAACGGGCTGCAGTGAGAGATTTTGTTGCTAAATGATGTAAAAAGATGCTCAATGAAATCATCTGGTAGCTCTGCCTCCAGAAACGTCTTCATGAACAGCTTGAACCCCTCTAAATCAATTGTCTAAAGTGGGGAGGCAGAGGAGGGGAAGGAGGAAAAAAAAAAGTCTTTTGAATTGTTTGTTTTGAAAAAACTTTCATACTAATCCATCAAATAATATTCCGTTAACAAAAACTTTTCGACTGTCTTTGAAAATACTGATTTCTGAAGATACAGCCTGGCACACCTATTCTTGAAAGTGACCGATTACCGAATTAAGTGTTACTTCGAAAATTCACCGTATTGCTATAATAGTACAGAGTTCTGTGTAAGATAACATGGAGTAAATTCAGAGCAATTGCATCAGGAACCCAAAACTAAGTTCCATGCTCTCTAGTTTCTTGATTAGAATACGGCTTTACAGCATATACAAAACTGCAGCCAAAGACGCCTATGGAGCTCACAGAGATGTACTAGCAAGTCTTAGCTTTTCCCATAATTACGCAGACAACAAGCAGGGGATTTTTGGATGTCTAATTCAGGGAACTGAAGGCCCCCTGTCTTTTCCTAGGTGGCAACACATTTTGCTGGTGTTTGTCGAAGAGAAACTAATCACCATGTCTTAAACAGGTTCTAACAGTCAAATGAGAGGGCCGAGATGCACAACATTGCTTACAGGGGAAAAAAAAAAGTTATTGATTTGAAGCATATGTCATTTAATTTGATTTGGTTTTGCTTTTGCCAGCAAGGTAAAGAGCTGATTAATGAAATTTCATTGATGTTGTCTCCTGACATGTAATACCACTAAATTGACTTGGAGAAATTTCCCCATGCTTCAGGAAGACTCCATTTCTCCATAGAAAAATCTAGTGCAACTCCTTTAGTTCAGTACAGTGAATGCAGCATTGGAAGGAACAAGCCAAGCAAAAAACTTAGCTTGAAACCATGCCAGAAAAAGAAAATGGAAACTCAATTTTCAAAGTGCCTCAGTGACTTTAGAATCTGAGTCACAGTATACATAGTTTTTACAATGCCTTTAATATAATTTCAACACTGTGCAGCAGGGATTTCTCTCCCCTGCCTTTTTCTTTTTCTTTTTTTTTTTTTAATATATTTATGAGATGCAGAACTTTTATGTCCACACGAAATAAGGTCTTTTCCATTAATGTCAAGACCTAACTGTCCCAGGGTAATGTTTTCAATGTGTATCATCATCCTTACTAGGGACTAACAACACAGACTGCAAAATTTTACTGATCTTGTGCAAGTCATTATTATTAGGAATGCAAATTTGGCATCTATGGGTATCTATGCTGAGCTTCAAATCCACAACACCTCATTTGAGAAAGAAGTTCAGGGAAACCAATAAAACTCTTACCTATTAAACAAAAATAGCAGAGACTGAAAAAAAATTGCCTCCACAAGGCTCAAGGTGGGTATAAAATGGAAGTAATCAACTTGGACATGGACTTGCTATCTTTGTCTCATCATACAGTTTCAGCAACTCTCTTCTGCTTCAGCAAACCATACACTGTTTCACTCATGCTACAAATTTTATGTTTTTCCTCAATAATAAAGTCACTGACATTTAAATCACTGTTTATAAACTATGAAACCACAATAGTAAAAGGATTTATATCTTCAGACAAGTAAACTGGTCATTACTTTACACTATATAAATTTATTTTTTATCTGCCAGCAAAACAAATTCATTAATCACTAAATCAACTGACTTTAACAATGGGAAACTGCTTTGTTAGATTGTTTGTTAATGAAATGTGTCTTAGTTATTTCACTAAATTGCACACAAAGAGGAACAATCAAAGGAAAAACAAAAATAGAAAAACAAATTATAATCCCATTTAAATATGGGTAGACATACAAAATATCTCTGTATTACATAAAGCTTTTTTTATTTACATTGTCTGTGGATTTTATTAATATATCGCCAAAAATATTCTTTGAGTTTACAGCCATCCTGGTTTCAGCTGCAACATGGTTAACTTTATTCAGAGTAGCTAATGTGAAGCTATGTTTCAGATTTGTGCTGAGAAGGCTGATAACACACTGATGTTTATACTTGTGTCCAGGACAGTAAAGAACTCTTTAGCTTCCCTGCTTCAGCAGTGCCTGCAGGTGCAGAAGAAGCTAGGAGGGAGCACAGCCCCAATTACTAGTTTGGGATTTGACCTTAGGTTTAGGATTGAGACCCAAACTGGCCACTGACATATTGCGTATCCTGTATGTCATGCCCAGAATATAGAAGAGGATCTGTCTGGAAGTTCTTCCTCTGTGGGTCAGCCCTCTCTCTGGGTTGCCTCTTGCTCTCTTGGACAGTTGAGCTCTTATCTCCATTCTGGGATTACCATTTTGTGACTCTTCTTGCTCTGGGATCATTAGCCAGTAATGGGCTGAGCCTTGGTCATTGGGTGGTGAGCAGCTTCACTGTTTATCACTCATTTGTGTATTTGCAAATTTATACGTAATAGTAATGATCATAATAATAGTAATATCACCATTATTTTTTATTATAGTTTAGTTATTAAATTCTTATCTCAACCCACAAATCTCTCTTCCCTTTAACCCTTTAACTCTCTGCCCCATTCCCCAGGAGGTGGGTGAGTGAGCAGCAGCACTGTATTTGTGCCTGCTAGCTGGGTGAAACCACAACAGATATCTTTCAGATTTTTAAACTGCTGTCTGAGTGACACTGGTCCACTAAGCTGCAGCAGTAACTAAATCCCTAATACTACATTTTTCACTTATATGCGCAGAATTATGCATGGGTAAAAATATGGATTAATAAATAAAATTAAAATTGTGTTTTTTCCTGAAGACTCTCTTTCTCAAATATGTTCAAACTTTTCAATATTTTCTGAAGATGGTCAGATTATCATTTACCCCAGTGTCCTCCAAAGCAAGTGTTCCAAAATGCCTTGTATTTTCTTGCCAGGAAAGACAAAAGATAAAGTAACACATAACTTGTCTGTCATGTCCATTTATTATGTTTGACACCCCGACTGCCACTGACTAATGTGCTCAGCAAAGGAAAAAAGAAAGTGTATGGTTGTTCTATAAGGTTGTTCTACAATCAGATTTCTTCAGCTGGAAGTGTTTTATCCTCTGTTCTCACATGTCCTGTGACCTGTATTCCCCCAAGTAAGCAGCAACATTCATACAGCCAGAGAGTTTAGACGTTGCATATCCAAAAGCTTTCAAATTATGCTGAAAGTTAGTTAGGAGCCAGTAAGTACCTTGAAAACATATCAGAAATATTTATAATAGCCCAAAATGCAGATGCAAAACCCCATGCAGTATGCAACGAATCTGCAACAACAGTCCTGCCTAAAGGAGATCTACGTGTAGAGAACTGTGATTAGATTCTTCCTGGTATGAAAAACCCCACAAACTCTCAGATTCTAATACTCCAAAGCTGAAAAAGATTTTCAAGAGGACCTAACACACTTGGTGTAGATTATCCTATCAAAACTGAGGTCTAAAGTAATGCAGTCATTTCTGGAAATTTGTTGTTGTAAATGTGTACACAGTAAATAAAAGAACTGAGCTAGACTATAGCAGATCTAGGAGTAGTTTTGATTATCCATCTAGCTTTCCAATGAAAAAGGGGTGAATTTTCAAAAAAGGCTCACTTTAAACTACTTCCAGTGTTTTCTCTATCATGTCTCTCTCATGGTAACACACATAAGTCATTACATAACTGCAGAAAAACTGAATACTTTCTTAAAATAAATCCTAAGAGGATGACTGTAGAAGACTTACAGGAGTATTATCACCAAGTAGAGGTTATAGTATTGAGTATGGTTCATTTAGAATAGAACACTTAAAGATGCAAAACATTTGCTCAGCTTAATTTAGAACAACTTTCACAGAAGAGAGAACACCACACAATACAATATTTTTCTTTTTTCCTTATGGAACTTATAAAATAAGAAGATGCTTCAGTAACTAACTGCCCTTCCTCTAATTACTAGTATTTCTCCCCAACCCCAGCTACTTTTCAAAGGAGCCACACAAAGTTTTGGTAACCAAAAGACAAAAAAAAAATAAGAAAGCAGAGGACATTAATTTTCCACACTAACATTCATTATGCTTGCTCTGATATATAAACCACGATAGTATCAGAATTTCTCAGATTAAAAGTTCAATAAATTTTGGCATGTTTTGAAAATAATTTATTTCTGTTAATGAATTTGCAAGCATTAAACATCTCAGATCAATAATATCAGAATAATATAAAAACCATAATGGTGCATGTGGTTTTATTAAGCATAAAGCCTGACTGCTTAGTTTTCAACAGTTGTTTGGCTTCCAGAAGCTCAAGTTGAATTTAAATGAACCCGAGAAAGAAGGATTTAGCATTTCAGAAAGCATTTTCCATGACGTTTCCCCAGTGAGGGGATGGGAGCGTGAGACGATGTACCAAACTAACTACAATTAACCTGGCACATGAATTAATTCATTCCATTTCACCAGAGACTGTCAGGGCATAGGGAGATTATGAAAACGAGTTTAGGGATCTCAGGAAAATTTTCAATATAACAAAGAGATACATAATGACATGGTTGAAGTAGCCGATAGTTAGAGGAACATGAAAAAAAACTTTCAACATCATTTGGCCTAAATCTTCTGAGAAGAGAAGGGGAAAAGAAAAAAAAAATCTGTTCTGTTTTAGCTTTGATTCAAATAAAAAAGGTACCAAATGCCTTGCCTGTAGGTCACAGAAAGGTAGGTGTTTTTATATTAATAATATAAACTTGGATTCCTCTTTTTGTATGTTAAACAACTAATTCACAAAGTTTACTGCAGCTCCTTTTCTCATGTCTTACAAAAATAAACTTTACAAAATAAGACTTTATAAATCTTTATAATCTTCCATATTATTGGGTAACAGAGTACACTTGGTAATGAAACATTTTGAGAGTCTGAAAAAGTACACATTCAAAAAGCATCGAGTTTCAGCTAATTTAACACAAAACATCCATATAAAATTAATTTTACTATTATTTTTAGAAGTTGTTATTATCATTTCCTATTTATACATCTTATCAATGTTTGCAATTACC